AGGGAGTCTCCGGGCAGCCCGGGCTGCAGCCAAGTGAGGCAGACCAGGGACGATGCCTTATCAGTCCCTCAGGCCGGTGGCCCCGCCCCTGCTCCCTCCTGGCCCCTCCCACCTCTCTGGCCCCGCCCCCTTCCTCTCCGCTGCTCCTCGCCCTCTGCTCCCCTGCCCAGCTCCTGCCTTGCCTTCGCCAGGCCCCTGGCCACTCAGCCTCTCTCCCAGCCTCTGCCTCTGCTGCTCTGCCAAGAGGCCAGAGCCAGAAGCCCAAAAGATTCTTAGCCTAGCCTCCCTCACAGGGTTGTTGTTGTGGGGATAAGGTTGAGAGCAGAGGAGAAGGATGAAAGGCACATTGAGTTAATTGTAAGAAAAAGTCAGGATATAAATCTAATAATGAATGAATGAATGTATAAATATGAGCTTTCCAAACGTGCAACCTAGGTGTGTTCATTTGCATGCATGCTTACAGGGGCAAGGTACACAGAGTACCCCAGCTGGACGTTTATCTTTATCCACTCCTGGCACAAGCATCAGGCATTCTCACCTGGAACACCAAGGCCAGGTGGTGGAGGTAGACCAAGGACAAGACGTATTGGGGCAAAGGCAGAGCCAGCAGCCAAAGGTCAGAGGCCGACAAGGTGCAACAGGACCAGAGGTGAAGACAAGTCAGGAGCGAGAGTCAGATACCTGGTAGGAGTGGAGCATGACACCTATTCAGGGACAGACAAGAGTCAAAACACAGGACTGGCAGCAGCCACTGAACCAGGACCATGAAACAACCACAGCAGCAACTCAAGCAGCATTTTATAGAGCCTCCTGTGGCCCCTGGCTAGTTTTCATGGTTGTGTTGCCCCTCATCCTGCAAGTACCTACTGATCTGGTACCAATCCTGAAAGAACGTGCAAGGTGCCCCCCCCCCCCCAGCTGCCTTTTATATCAGGTCGCCAGGGGAAAGTGTGTTGTTCTGAGAATCTGAGAATCATGTAAAGGCCCAGAGAAGTGAGCCGGAAGACTGAGACCAGCCCTAAAATCATATTAGTCACTAGAAGAACCTCTTCTTGCTTCTAAGATGCCCCATCCTCACAAAAAGCCTTCTGCCTGAATATGAACTCAGAGCAACTCTGTTAGCAGCAGCAGCAGCAGCAACAAAACATTTTCTGGCAACTTAATGCCTGATCGATTTATTCCGATGCCAGCTTTTGTGGGCTATTGTTCGCCTCCTTCAATCTATGGAACAATGAGGAGCTTCGGGTTGGGCTGGCAGGGGAAAGCAAGCGGTGGGTTTGTGCACAGGGTGTTCATTGTGAGCTCGTGATTCCTCCATCGTGGCTGTTTGTGGATGCTTCGGGCAGGATGATCCCCCAGGGCTAAGCAGGGACGCCTGGTGCTTGGGGAATGGCGGAAGGAGATGCTCCTGCAGCTGCTCGGTTCCACTGCGCCATTGCCCCACCTGGATATTGTGTAATAGAGCACACAGGAAGGCAAAGAAAGACAAGACACAGGGAAAGGTGCATAGAGAATTCAGTCTTAATTGCGTGAGGGATCTGGAAGAGGAAGCCATGGGAAAGTGGTGGGTTAAAAGATTCATCTAGAAACCTCCTGGGTTGTTTTGTGAACTCCTTGTGTGCATGCACATTCAGCTTCCTGGGGCCCCCAAAAGCGAAAAGGTGGAACTCAAAAAATGAACTCAGAAATCTGCAGATCTGTGGTGGCTCAACACTTCTCTTAATCACTTAATCACTGCTGACTTCAATAATTGACTAAGCAACCTGAAAAGGGGGTAGCATTTCTCACAGGATGCTTGTCAGAAATAATTGTCCTTTTCTCACAAAATTACGGGATCATGCTTGAATGTTTTGCTTGATATCTTGGGTTCCATAAGGACAAGGGACTTGATCCTTTTAAAAAATGAAGCTGGAACCTGGCCCTGCTAGTGGATGCCCTAGTATCATGCCACGCTATACAGCAATGTAATTATATGAAATACAATACCAGGCAGGTCCTTCCATTTGATGAGAAGCAATTTTCACTGGGGGAAAACAAGCTGCTAGTCCATATTGCTGTAACCTCCTTCCTTTCTTCCAGGCACAATGACATGCTTCTGAAGTTGGTATTGTTCTACAAAAAGCTGAACAAAACTGATTTAAGGACCATTGACTCCACACTCACAAATATCCAGAAGCTCCAGGCGGGCCATGTTGGTGTTCAGGTGGGTGTCCCCAGTTTTGAAACAAGCAGTTAAATTACATGTCACATTTAGCACAGGGAGCAAAACATGTAGTTCTCAACCCTGCCACCAGGGGACCCTCTTTCTCTTTGGCTGCCTGCATTAAGAGGGCCCTCTGTCCTCTGATCCTTAAGGACCAGTGATGCAGTGGCAAATTTAGAAGTGGGGGGGTCCCGTCACGATAGTCATGCCTCTAAGCCATGCCCACATCAAAGCCACACCCCCAATCCACACCTCTTCCCAAGATTATACCACCTGTGGTTATACAAGAAGAATGAGCTTTATTATTTATTAATTAATTTATTAAATTTCTAACCTGCCCCATTAGCCGTAAAGCTCTCTCAGCAGGTTGCAGCAGAAAAAAATACAAAATAAAATGCAAAATGGAATAAAATAAAGATTAAAATACAAAATAAATAACAGATAAAAAAACCTTAAAACCAGTATAAAATCCTCCACAATAATAACATACCCACAGTTTAAAAGTTCCTTAAAACGAGTTAACAACTCAAATACTGTCAAAGTAGGAAGGTTTTCACCTGGCACCTGAAAGAGTGTAAGGAAGGCACTAGGTGAACTTCTCTGGGGTGCCCCTGCAGAAAAGGCCCTTCTTTGTCCCTTTGGTGGAATTTTGGTTGAATAATAAATGCAAGAGGAGGGTGTCTCTTTTTGAGTGAAGCAATGACAGTGTCTAGGAGTTACTTCTTATTACCTTATTTATTAGGAATGATTTTTTAAAAATTACATTCATTCCCCAGCCCAGAAGGTCCCAGAGTGGCTTTTGTGGAACGAATCAGGCAGTTCCTGCCCACAGGCTTGCTATCGAAAAACATGGGATGCAGCGGCTGAGCGGGAGGGAAAGTGTGACAGTAACCACGTGTGTATGTCTGGCAGGCCTCTCCAGAAAGCGACTTTCCCAGAACCATTGGGAGCTGTCAAAACAAAACAAAACAAAACAAAACAAAACAAAACAAAACAAAACAAAAACCACCCTGTTCTTTATCCTTCAAATTTGGGACTCTGGTACAGCCATGAACCAGCAAAATTATGTCTTTCTAGAGGCGGTGGGGAAGAACAGTGACTGGACTCAGCCTCCCCCCTGAAGGCCCCCTCCAAAATAAATGGGGGTGATCTGACCCCCCCCCCCCCCCCCCCCGCCCCCAGGACCACCTCCACTACAGCCTTGTTAATGACCCAGCTCCTTCTCTGTACTTGGTAGAACAGAAGAGCCGTTCGGCCATTCCTTCCGCCCCGGACTCCTGGGTCCTTTGTGCCTCCGGGCATGGATGCAGCCAGACCCTGCACAGCTTTGCGGTGTCTGCAGGGCCACCTACCCCCTTTGACTGCGAATGAAGTCAATGGTCTGAGTGAGCGTTGAATTCACATAGATGGTCATGCTCCCTGCATTTGAAAGCGATGCACTGGGTCAAGCGGACCTGTTTTTATCATTATACGATGCCTGTGGATTTATGCTTTTTAAAGTGTAGTTATATTCCATTACTCTGGTAAAGGAGAAGTGGACTGGTTAGGCCAGACTTCTTAATTATTGTTTTTATATTGTTATTCTGTTATTTATTGTTGTGAGCCGCCCCGAGGCTTCGGCGAATGGGGCGGCATAGAAGCTTTCTAAATAAATAAATAAATAAATAAATAAATAAATAAATAAATAAATAAATAAATAAATAAATAACTAACTAACTAACTAACTAACTAACTAACTAACTAACTAACTAACTAACGCTGCTTATAGCCCTGCGTGGCAAGAAGTGGTATGAAATCCAAGCCTCACATATAAGCACCAGTGATTATTCTCCATGCCCATTTGGTCAGAAAAAAGCCCAGCATTCCCCAACATTACTGGCTGGGGAATGCTGGGAATGGGAGGGTCTTTCATGTCTAAACATGTATAGAATTGCATCCTAAGAGTTATTTTTAGAAGAAGGGTCTTGGCAGGGAGGGTGCCTCAGTTAGCGGACTGATGCACAGAAAGGACACGCTCATTTTCAGAAGCCCCCCTCCCCCCACTTTCCCCCTTGAAAGTCCAGGCATGCTCAGAAGGAGAATTCCCGGAAATGATTACTAGAGAGGGTTCACCAAACCACTCTGTGCATGCTCAGAGATCCATTCTGGGCGCTTTGTGCTTTTTGGTCAATAAAAAACGCTTTGCAAGGAAAATGGTCTGTGGCTTTTGAATGCGTGAAGGAGGAGCTCTGGCTCTCAGCAGTTCCTGTGCACCATTCTGCCATCTTGAGATGTTTAGTGAAAGATGGGATAAAATGTTTTATTAAATTAAAATGTATTAAATTACCTATTTTAATGGAAGGAAGAGCACTGTCAGTTGTAAAAGCTTGACTTATCAATTTATTATCAACTTATCAATTTATTGTCCCTGCAGCCAAAATGACTCTTGAGACTTTATTTAAATGATTATTTAAAATTCAAAATATATTAAAAGTATATGAAATCTTTATTTTATTTTATTGTTTGTTTGTTTAAAATTTTATATGCTGTCCAATACTAAAGTCTCTGGACGGCTTACAAAAAGTCTCTGGACTTTATTTAAAAGACTTCCCAGAATTCTCTCTGAATTTGGATGCAATCTACAGCAGGGCTTCCTAAGCAGGCAAGTCCCTAAATATGGCAGTGAATCTAGGATCATATTGACCCGGGGCCAGGAAGAAATAAAAGAGGTGGGAAATGTGTCTTGCAGTTTTGGACAGTGCAGCTGCTCTGCGGTTCTCAGAACAAAGATGCGGTACGCTTGACCCTGGAACAGATCGACCTGATCAAGCGCATGTGCAGACACTACGAGGAGCTGGAGCTGGTGACCTCCGCACAGGGTGAGCTGGGGACTGTCTCTGTTCCACCGCCTTTAGGGCATGGGGCCGGGACTCTGAAAGGGATTCTGAGTGGCCGAGGGTGATGCCACGCTTTGTGACTCCCGGGTGCCCCAGGCTGGCTGGTGGCCATGGGGCAGGCTGCGTGGCCCATTCAGCTCGGCTCTCCGGCACCTTGCCGGGGCTTGGACCCCTCCAGCACCTGCTGGCCAAACCCGCTGCTCCTCTCTGCCTCACTGCAGGCCCAGCAGAAGAGCCACTTCTGCACAGTAGCAGCTTTGCTTTAAAGCCCTTTAAAAGCAGCTTAAGAGCCAGTGGGGTGCAGCGGTTGAAGGAGTGGGATGCAGGAGATCCGGGTTCTAGATGCCTCTCAGCCATGAGGCTCCCAGTTGCTGATCCACAGCCTACCCTACCTCACAGGGTTGTTGTGAGAATTACATGAAGAGGAGGATCACATATCCTTCCTTGGGCTCCTGGTAGGAAAGACAAATGCATGCACATTGGAGGACATCCTTGCTGGAGAACTCAGGGTGACAGGCTGGTCTCCATGTGGCATTTTTACTGGCACTGCAGCCCCTGATTCATGGGCATATCACACTCACCGCAACCTGTCGTCGTCACACTATTCCCACCACTTCAGCATGACTTTCTTAAATGCCAGGGGTGGCCAGATTTGTTCAACGGAAAAGCTCTGTACGGTAAACGTCCGATGGTTGGGAGGTGCAAGACATGAACAAATACGTATGCATGCACGTATTATTGATTACAGGAGATTGACGTAACAATTCGGGAAAGCCAGGATTATTGTGAGTCTTAGCTGTGAGTTTGATCATGCAAAGTAGGGAGACTAACCTGGCAGGCTTATTAGCTGTTGCTGCTGTTAGCAAAGGAATAGGCAGGGATTAACTTCTCTTGCAGCATCTCAGGCAAGCTGAGAGTTGCAATCTCTTAAAGTAACAATGCTGAACAGAAGCCTTGCTTGGAATTCTGGTATTTCTGAGAAAGAGGAGCAGGGATACTGCAGGTTTGATCTTATAACTCAAAGGCACATAGAAGCAACCTTTTTCTACCAGGATTTATCTGAATTCCCCCAACACTGGCAAAAAATCCTCTGGTTTCTCCTATGAATTGAATTTGTGTTTAGTGCAAGAAGCCATGCTGCATTCATCAGCATGTGCCCCGACTGTGGTAAATACGTTTTGCATAATTCTGAGCCTGGGGAACAAGCTGTAGTGCAGATCTTGCCCAGATCATCTGCTGAGATGCTAACAACTCTCTCTTACAGTGCCTTATGTCGTTCACATGGTTCAGCTGCTAGGGAAAGCCCGAAGAGGGAAACGGCAGATTGCTGAAGTCTGCTGTTGCAAAACAGCCCCCGCAGTTGTCAGCTGCCATGTCTATATTATTCTGTGCAAATCGCCTTTTTAACATTAGATTTTTCTCTGTTTAAATCCAGGCATTGTTGACAGCCAAAAGATAGCCAGTTTGATTGGGATCGACGGAGGTCATGCCATCGATAGCAGCCTTGCAGCCCTGAGGATGTTTTATGAGCTGGGTGTTCGGTACTTGACTCTGACGTCCCGGTGCAACACTCCCTGGTAACGGAGGTGCACGGAGCCTTTATAGTTTGTGCAAAATAGGCCCGAAGTAGCATGTGTGGAAGGCAATTTGCCTGCCAAAAACAGAAGGAAAACATACTATCTGCTGGGAAATTGCTTTTTGGGGTGAAAGGCTGGAAGGATTCTTTATGACTCTGCAAGAGGAGGAGGAGGAGGAGGAGGAGGAGGAGGAGGAGGAGGAGGAACGGGCGTTAAATGTGAACTTTCTGGCATGTGTTGGTCATAGTCCTTTTTAGAAGGCCACTGAGCCCAGCTCCCTGCTCAACAAGGACGCCAAGCTAAAGCATCCCGGGCGGGTGCCGTCCAGCTGCCCTTGGGATGCCCCCATTGTGGGAGAGCCCACCGCCTCCCTTGGTCATGCTGCTCTAGCAGTCAGGAAGTTCTTCCTGATGTCCAGCCAGAATCGGGCTTCCTGTGACTTCCGGAATTATTCACCATTATTCCTCCATGTCCTGTACTCCAGGATAACTGCGGAGAGATCTGGGAGGCCAAGAAGCTGGTGGTGAGGCAAAACACACCCACCCTGGCTCCACTGAACCATTGCTCTACCAGCATTCTGTGTATTTGCAGTGGTATGCCATCAAACAAAGTCTCATGATCCTGTTTCACTCTAAAGTTTGCCATGTTCCTTTGTACATTTTATGATTTGTGAATAACACACACACACGCATTATTGGTTTCTCAGGGCAGAAGCACCACCAGGAAGAGAAGAGGACTTTTATCCCAATGTTATTGGGCTGAGTACCTTTGGTGAAGTAAGTAAACACACGCCTCTTTATATTATTCACCTCCGATTCTCTTTTGAAAGAACCCATCTAGATCCCTATATCATTACCAGTGAAGAATCTTCTGCTTAAAAGTAGCCTAAACATAATTGCAAACAAAATTGATTCACCGCAAACTGGTTTTTTTACTGGGCAAATGAGTCTTACAAAAGCAAATTACAAAAGGCTTTTTGGTGAAAAGGTGCATGAAGTTATGTCCTACTGGGAGAATGCAAATATGCCAGGATCAGATTTGCTTTAAAACCTTTATTGTCCTTTGCCACAACACATGACTGCCAGAGGCATCACAAACCCCACAGAACTGCTGAACCAGTCACAGAATACGAAAGCAAGGAATGACCTAGAAACAGAGAAACAGAGCGGGTCAGAAGGGGCCTCCTGGGCCATCTAGTCTGACCCAAGCTCCAGCCAGCTCTGCTCACGACATGCCCACCATGTACATGTCCAGCCCATCCTTGAACACCCTATAGAAACATAGACCCTCTCCAGGGTCCCACCATTGACACATTTGATATTTTAAGAAAGTGTTGCAGGAACGCTCGCAAAATTGCCCTGGTGGTGAGAGGACGTGCCTATCATTCTTTGCAAGAGGGATAGCCTAGACACACACACAGAGAGAGTCCATATTTCCTGGACTCTCTCTTCTTTCTTTCCAAGGAGAAATGCTCGCTGGTACACGAAGAAAGGAGCAGGTTAGAGAGCTGACCTGGCATCCAGCTTGCCAGTTTGCATGGCTGCAATAAACCCACAAAGCCACTGCTCACCGTGACCATGCTTGCAACAGTTGCAGGACATGGGATGCAACCGTAAACTGAGTTAGTCCTGGGTCCATTGCTGACCAGCTGCAGCTTTCCAGGATTTCAGGGGGGTTTCCCAGCACTGCTGGAGATGCCAGGGCATGAACCCCTGGCCTTCTACACACAGTGGGAGAAAATGCAGGGGAGAAGGAAAGAATCAGAAAGAGCAAGGCTGGGAAAGGGAGCGAGGCGGTGAGGAAAAGGCTTGAGTGGAGAGAAATGGCAAGGCTAGAGGCTGGAAATGGGAGAGAGAAGGAGAATAAAGGGAAAGGTATGTGTGGATGGAAGACAGGCTGGGTCTAGAAGGAGACTCTTCCCTTCTCTTTTTGTCTGCTGAACAGCTGATTAGCAGCAGGTTCAGAAACAGGAAGCATGGCTTGATGTTCTAACATTGTTCAGGTTTTATTAATTTTATTTTTTGTTGTTGTTGAAGGGGCAGGGAATGAAGATCTTCACACAAGCAGTGGAGATGCCTGTCTTAGAATTTTATAATCCCATGATGGTAGCAAAACTGCATCTGAACTCTGTATCGGGTCAGCCTGATAAAGAAATAAAGTCATCTGTCTTCTCGCTGTAGGAAGTGGTGAAGGAGATGAATCGCCTGGGTATGATGATAGACTTATCGCACACATCTGACACAACGGCACTGGCTGTCCTCCAACTCTCCAGAGCACCTGTCATTTTCAGCCATTCAGCAGCCTTCTCAATCTGCAAAAACTCAAATAACATCCCCGATCATGTTTTGCAACGTCTGGTGAGTGCCTCTTCTCTCACGTAACTGTAAGAAAGCATGCAAAGGGGATCGGCATAGGCAGCCAGGGCAGATGCTTCCTTCTAGGTGCATAATCAGTGAGGGACCTGACTCCACTGAAGGCCAGTTCAAGCAAAGTCCAGAGTCCAGGCATGTATCAATCCGGAACTGAGGCTGGCAGGCCCAATGCCAGTGGATGGTGTGCCCCATGGATATGGGGACCACCAGCCTCCACCACGAAGTGTGTGGGGAATGGAAATCAGGCATTCGTCTGAGCAGGTCCTATGGGCCATGTAATGGAATGTGAAAATTGATTCCTCCACTTTCTTCTAGAACTATAGGAAGATGTTGTCTCAGTAGGGAGTAAAAGCCAACTGAATCCTAATGCAAACTGACAAAACCTGTAGAGTGGTGAGTTCTTCCTCCACCTGGAAGTATTGATTAGACTGTTAAAAGGCACATGCCTCATGTTGCAGTCTTAGACGTCTTTGACTTCTGGAGAGGTGGAGGATGAAGGCAAGCCTCTGGCTGGAACCAGCCTGAATAAGGCACTGGCTATCCTACCTCACAAGGAAGTCAGCCATGACTCACCTGAATCCTCTACTGAACACCAGAACGTAATGAAAGGGCTCCAAAATGAAACCAGGAAATCACAGTGATTACTACTTCTGCATCAAACTCCCACAAGAAAGTTTCATGGGGCTATGCTAGCAGGATTTGAATGTACCTTTGGCTTAATACAGAGCTGGTGAGCCAGTCCTTTCACCTTCTCCCATACAGAAAGAAAACAATGGGATTGTGATGCTGACCTTTGATATCAAGTTTTTGGCCTGCGGCAACTATTCAGCTACTGTTTCAACCGTAGCAGGTTTGTTACTGTAGTGTAAATTACTTTAAAAGTGGGGAAAGGGGTGGGATTTAATACTTTGGGAACAGCTGTAGTCCAGGGCCCTCCTGATAGTTCTGTTAGAGCAACTCTTCAGACTTGGACTTTGGATCAGGACCATCTTTCCAGGAAATATTGTAGCAGGGCTCTCAGCATGCCCAATCCTGTGCTCTTCATCTCAGGTTCTCCTTTTCTGACATTGTACCTCAAATATACAGTAGAACGTCCTCTTGTTTTAACCCCTGGGTCCTGCTTGTTCTAAGGCAGTTCACTTTAGATTCAAGAATACTCTGAAAAGACAGCAAACCACCTGTGGAAGAGATGATATTCAGTTTACTGAATATATGCAGTGGCAAAATATGGGTGTGAATTGTCAACAGGCAAAGGAATATTTGACAGTTGTCCCTTCAGTCGCAGGGCATCCTGAGGTGACAGACATTGCTCTGGGGGTACAAGTTATGCAGATACTTTTCGGGTACCTGGTTCCAAGGGGAAAGCCACAAACAGCATGGATTTTAGGCAGTTCCCCACTGCCTCTGCTTCAGGGGCTGTCAGGATACAGGGGAAGGAGGGTGAGGGAAGGCCAGCTGCCCCATAAACTTCAGCAAAAGGGCGTGTAAACACCCTTATCTCACAGCACCTGGTAGCTGGTGATCTCCAGTGTCTCACAGTAGTTAAGCTCACAATCAGCCTACACTAAATGACACTGGAAACCGTTCACACTTAGCTCCTCTTCCAGGTTCCAGTACACCTCTCCAGAAAACTGCAAGCACCAGCTTTGCTGTTCCTTTCATGAGTTTTAATATTATTATATTGCTTTTCTCTCCTTCATGGATCACTGCCTTGCCATGGCGAAGGGGCTTGTGTAGCGCAATGAAGCTATGCGCTATGACGGACAGGTCATAGCGGAGAGCTCTGACAAAGGGTGATCCACTGGAGAAGGAAATGGCAACCCACTCCAGTAGCCTTGCCATGAAAACCCCATGGACAGTACCAAAAGGCAAAAAGATATGACGCCGGAAGATGAGCCCCTCAGTTCGGAAGGTGTCCAATGTGCTACCGGGGAAGAGCGGAGGGCTAGTACTAGTAGCGCCAGAAAGAATGAAGCGACCGGGTCAAAGCCAAAAGGACACTCAGTTGTGGATGTATCTGGTGGTGAAAGGAAAATCTGATGCTGTAAATAACAATACTGCATAAGAACCTGGTCTATGAATCAAGGCAAGCTGGATGTGATCAAACAAGAGATGACAAGACTGAACATCGACATCTTAGGAATCAGTGAACTAAAATGGACAGGAATGGGTGGATTTAATTCAGATGACCATCAGGTATACTACTGCGGGCAAGAACCCCTCAGAAGTAATGGAGTAGCCTTCATAGTCAATAAAAGAGTAGGAAAAGCAATACTGGGATACAATCTCCAAAATGACAGAATGATCTCAGTTTGAATCCAAGGCAAACCATTCAACATCACAGTAGTCCAAGTCTATGCCCCAACCACTGGTGCTGAAGAGGTTAAAGTTGAGCAGTTCTATGAAGGTCTACAGCACCTTCTAGAATTAAAACCAAAAAATGATGTCCTTATCATCATGAGGGATTGGAATGCTAAAGTAGGAAACCAAAAGATAACTGGAATAACAGGCAAGTTTGGCCTAGGAGTACAAAATGAAGCAGGGCACAGGCTGGTAGAATTTTGTCAAGAGAATATGATGGTCATAGCAAACACTCTTTTCCAACAACCCAAGAGACGACTCTACACATGGACATCACCAGACGGTCAACACAGAAATCAGATTAACTATGTCCTCTGCAGCCAAAGTCAGAAAAACTAGACCAGGAGCTGAATGTGGCTCAGATCATGAGCTTCTGGTTGCAAAATTTAGGCTTAAATTGAAGAAAGTAGGGAAAAGCACTAGGCCACTCAGGTATGACCTAAATCCTATCCCTGATGAATATACAGTAGGGGTAACAAACACATTTAAGGAATTAGATCTGATAGACAGAGTGCCTGAAGAACTATGGATGGAGGTTCACAACATTGTACAAGAGGTAGCAACTAAAACCATCCCAAAGAAAAAGAAATGCAAGAAAGCAAAATGGCTGTCCGAGGAAGCTTTACAAATAGCTGAGGAAAGAAGGGAAGCGAAAGGCAAGGGGGAAAGGAAAAAATACACCCAATTGACTGCAGAATTCCAGAGAATAACTAGAAGAGATAAGAATGCCTTCTTAAATGAACAGTGCAAAGAAATAGAAGAAAACAATAGAACAGGGAGGATCAGAGATCTCTTCAGGAAAATTGGAGATATGAAGGGAACGTTTCATGCAAAGATGGGCATGATAAAGGACCAAAATGGCAGGGACCTAACAGAGGCAGAAGAGATTAAGAAGAGGTGGCAAGATTACACGGAGGAACTATACAAGAAAGAGCTTAATGTCCCTGATAACCACGATGGGGTGGTCACTGACCTCAAGCCAGGCATCCTGGAATGTGAAGTCAAATGGGCCTTAGGAAGACTGAGCAACGGCAAAGCTAGTGGAGGTAACAGTATTCCAGCTGAGCTATTCAAAATCTTAAAAGACGATGCAGTATTTATTTTATTTATTTATTAAAACATTTCTATGCCGCCCCTTGCCGTAGCCTCGGGGCGGCTCACAACATAATAAAATACACAATAAATTAAAACAATAACAATTAAAATATATACATTGGAATAAAATAAGCTGCCCTGGCCAAATAAAATTCAATGATATTAACATTTAAAATGCTGCTTAAATAAAAAGGTCTTCACCTGGCGCCGAAAAACAAAT